GTATATAATAATTATCACTTATGAATTCACTTTCTCACAGATCAATATTACTTTTTAACTCAGACTCGCAATGAATACTCTTCTGCTCGCTTCTGAACAAAAACGCATCACGCAACACACTCGCAATTGTCTCACAACACTCATGCCTTCGCTCGACTCTCATGCATTCTCACACATACAACATAAAACCAAATCCACAGATACTTCCATATTTTTGCGGACAAAATATTTTTTTCAATTATATATTTACTTCTGCATGTACGACTTAATAAAAATCAAAATGGACGAACAAGATAATCGTAATATATTGAGCATTGGCATTGACTAGCTATTCAAATTAGAGACATGTTTTTGAATTTCACAAAATAAAAGAAATAACAACTTATAACTAACGGTATTTAACATAGGAAGAAAATATATAAATATTAACTATTTTAACTATTTATATATAAATATTAACTATTTTAACTATATTAACTATTTTAACAAATTAAAAAACAGAAAAGACATTTTAACCGAAGTTTCTTTAAATACTCTTTGCCCCGATATTCGAAACATTTCATGTTTTAAAAATTATATTATCATTATATAATAATATACACTAAAATACTAAACATATTATAAATATAAATATATTATAAAAAATATATTATAAAAAATTCGAATTATTTCAAAAATAATTCAATAATTATGTAATCTGGTTACGATCTTGTTATGTCTTTATTTTTCAAAAAATAAAAAGCCTTTAGTGTTTTAAGAAAAAATTTACTACAAACTGAGATGATACATCGCCTATGTCATGTTTGAATTTAAGAAACTGTTTGATAATAAAAATATATAACTATGTTGATAATGATCTAAAATTTATCTAAATTTTAAAATATCATAAGATATAAACATTCTGATCAAAATTCAAAATTTATTAAGAGTCTCGAGAATTTTAAATACCAGTAATTTTCGCAATTTGAATATTCATACTATCAAAAAATTTCGAAAACTTCAAAATTATAGCTCAAATGTCTATTCAATAAGTTCTTTCAAATGTCTAATTACAATAGATATATTTAAGTCTCGCTGCTGTACTAATGAATACTTCATTTAGTTAGGTGATAAATAAAAGTAAAAATTTGCATAACAATTCTCACATTACTCGCGGATTATTACAAACAATGAATCGTTAAACTATAAACATCCAATCGATCTTCACGTAAATATAATAATTCTATTAACGAAATATTACATTAAAGAGAAAGTGGTGAAGAAAAACAGGGATGATAAATAGGGATGGAGTTGAAACAAAGAGAAAGGAGGAAGAGAAAGAATCGCGACAGTCTATGTCGAACGGAGTGGAATCATGATTCTAAAGCATAAGGGGGGCAGTAACCGAGCGGGCCATCAGGGGGCCAGGGCAACAACCGACGCTGACCTCTACGACAATCATCGGTCGCCTCCTCTTGCTCTGCCTTTCCCTCCTTCCACCTCTCCAACGATGGTTATCGTTGTAACCATCATTGGTGCTGCCGCTCTCGCCTCCCTAACCTCTTCGATCCCATACCAACACCCTCGTGTCCTCCTCACAGCCAGGCCGTTCGGTACACTACCTTTTGTGGCTCTCTTTCCTGTGGAACAATAATTCGTCGTCATTTCGCACGCCATGGTCCTTAGTTCTTAGCGAGAAGCTGTATCTCATATTTGTCCCACCGCCCCATCGCCATAGCCCGAACCAAGAAATCTTAACGATACTCAGAAATGAGTTGTTAAACCTTATCTTTGTTTCTTGTCGATAAGATTTAACCCTTTCCATCGTGAATTAATTTCAACCAGAGGAAGAAAAAAAGGACGTCGTTCAACTTTTGCTTCTGTAGTGCATCGGCTTCGTGAAAATAATGTCACACTTGAACGCGCCATTTCCAAACTATCACTATTAAATTAATTCCTATACATCATTTTATATCATATATTTATATCATAAAAAATAAATGCTGATCAAGAATAATTTTTCATTCACCTATACGAGAAATATTCTATCCTTTCTAATGGACGGAAACTCAGTTTGCTTATCACAACGATAATAATCATTCCCGACATTTGCAGCAAACCTGTTATTCTTCAAGCTTATAAACAAATGTAAACTTAATAAATTCTCAACAAAGAAATACTAATATCACGTATCTTTTTGTTTACATACTAATTACTTTGTCTCTGGAATTTATGCATATTTTCAGCGATTTCTTATAATATCATTCCTACTTGGATATAATTTTAATGTAAGTTTAATTTATAATTCTTAAAAAAATTACATCTAGCTTAAAAGAAAAACAACCTGGAAAAAATAAAAGATATACATTTAATAACAATAAATAATATTATTATAGGTCTGAACTCAATTTTGCTATCCAATTTTTGAAAATTTAATTTAATGTTATAACATAAATGCGAATCTTCGGAATAAAAAATGTTTTTCCTTCCTTTATACAGGCAGAGCCTTTAATCAAACACTAAAACATTGACAAGACAAATAAATTTTTATGTTAAAATATGTCTTATTGATATTTTAAAAGTAATTTTTGTTGGTAAAAATACGAACGAAAAGAGCCGTTTGTTACCATTTGTAACCATTTTAACCATATTATCAACAAAATTTTTTTCGTTTAAATTCAATATCCGTTTAATATTCGTCTAGGGGATAGATTTTCCTCTCAAGACGAAGAGGATAGATTCAATTTTTGAAAACTCGACTTTCACTTTGAAAACTTTGAAACTTTGAAAACTTGCATATTCCTTCAAATTTCCATATTACCCTTTCTTCCAATTAGTATTGATTATGACAATATATCATTTCTAACAAAGCATTCGATTACTCAATTACAGAGTATTGAAGAACAAATAACGTTTGTTATCTCATGCTTGATTCTTCATTTACCTATCGTCATCGTATACTTATGCTCTATAACAGAAGTAGCTAACTGGCGTCTTGCAGGCTACATGTGGCCCTTGCCCTTACTTTCTTGACCGCTAACGTTATCCCCTCCACTGCATCGATTTCTACTGCGTTAAGAGTGTCGCAATTACAATATTCGCTTAGGTATATGTGTAAACATATAAATTGTTTTCTTTATTGTAGCTGCTAAAATTAAAAGGAAGATAGGGAAAGTAGTTTGTATGGCCCGCTGCGGCGAGACAGAATGAACAGAGTGAGAATTAATTTTCATAGTGGAGAAACCGGCAGACATTATGAGTGAGCAGCTCGTGTAGCCCACGACGGGGAAGTTCGCCGTCTCTGCTCCACAACATACTTCCAGATATATTTCTTAATTCTGAACGAATAATTGCGTATATGAGTTACAAGTATAAGAAAAAATTCGTACGATACCGACGATATTGATAAAAATCGACATTTGATACATTTCGAATAAATGGTGTCGGTTTACGTCATTAGAAAATAAAAAACACGCATCCATTAATTTACTACCACTTAATTATCTATCGTTTTGTGAACTTTTTCGCAGTAAAATTAATTTACTATGCGAAAAAAATCAAGATAAACATTTCAAACTCACCGCTTTACAAATTATTGCGATAAACTGAAATTATAGAAGTTTTATTCAATAAATTAAAATTATATTATTAAACTGCAACTTTATAGCTATGTCATTTGTTGAATTTAGGTAGTTATAAATATATAGTGAAGAGTATAACTGTACTAGTGTTTCACTGACAATGAAAACTTCTTTTTAATTTATAATAACTGATATAACTGATATAATATAAAATCGTTGTAAAGATGAGACTTCAATTTTCAAAATAACGATCCAGTTACGGAAAACATTTTTTAATGTTTTCACACGCGTTTGAATATTTACAATTTTCGAAAAAAAAAATATCTGTACTTTCCCATACTATGATGTAGTCATCTTCAAAAAAAACGAACTTACAACTATCAAAATAGAATCTTCACGCTTTAAATTTAAAATATCGACAATTTTTCATTGTCGCTGTTAGTTACGCTCTTTGCTGTATCATCAATTGTTTGATAGCATAAGCATATAAGCATATCGTGAAAGAAACACTTATGAGAACAAAGGAAATAATTTTTTTAATATTTATTCAATTATATTTTATTTTTTAATACTAGTTTAATATTATATGAAATTTAAAAAATTTTAACAAAATCTAACCGTACAAGAATAAAAAAAATAAAATTTTATATCTAAAAATAATAATTCACGAACAAAATTTGTTGATATCTACGACTACGCTAGCAAACGATATCAGTTAATTAATTTTTTGACTTTTTTTCACATATATACATGAACTTTGAAATTATTGATAATATGTGTACAAAAAGGAGTTTTAAATATTATGATTTTAGTCAATGTCCAATAATTCTTACCGTATTACAACTACTATAATCGCGTAAAATATTAATTGCGTAATTTGTAACATTTTTTTAAATCCGAAATATTTTGATTTTCGTTTATTTTTATTAAAAATTTTGAATTTAACTAATTGTTTGTAATAATTACTTAACTGTCAAAAATTTAATTTTTAACATGTTGAAAAAATAACATTAAGACATGTCAAAATAGTAAACAAATCTTATTCCATTGAAAAATATATATTAAATATTCTTAAAAAAGTAGAATTTTTTAAGTATGATGTTTTATGAAACATTAAAACAAAAGATTTTCAGTATTCTATTTTCATTTTTACATAAAATTCTATTTTCATTTTTTATATTAAAAAAAACAAAATAAAAAAAATTGTAAATATTTGAGATTAAAAGTCGTATTATACTTTACAATAATTTATTTCACTATTTTATTTAATGATGTAATTATAGATTAATATATTAGTTTTATTAAATTAATTTAAATTCAATGACAATATTGTAAAAAATTCAACCTCCAAACATGTAAATTTATCAATTTGAGAATCACTATAAAGGAAACTGGTATTTGGGACTTCGGACAAAAATCGAAACAGTAGACACAACGATGTTTTATATTCATGAAATTTCATAAGCACGAGGCCTTTGTTTTTATTATCTCTGTACAAAAACAGTCGAAAAAATTATAGATTTCTTTTGATAAAGATTTAATTTTTTCGAGCTCACGGCGTATGTACAAGCGGGAAATGATAGACATAGTAACCTAAAAACTAAATATAATTATACATTGATATAGTAATAGATATAATAATTATAATCCATAATAATTAATAGTAAACCTACAGTCTACAGATTCGAGAGTGTACGTAATGTGTTCCTCGTGTCTGTTCCATGTATCTCGTCAAAGTGTATTCGTCTACATGTTTATGTGCATTCGTGTCTTCCACATAATGTTTTACATATGTCTTTCAATGACAGTGTACACATCGACCAAGCGAACGTTTTTTATACAATATTTTTCAAACAGATCATTTCGATTGCAATTATTTCAAAAACGTATAGTAATGTATCATGTCGTGTCATATGTGTATGTGTAAATTTGTCTGTGTCCTATATATGTCTATATCTGTCCTGTCTGTCTCTGTACGTTTGTATATGTGTAAACGAATGTTTTTTTTCTTGTGCACTGGCCAACAGGGCCGCCGAATTCGGATCTCGATGACCTTGGGTCGGTGTCTTTTTGTTTTTCGTCTTTGACGCGAATATGCATTAAAATTATTATGAATTTTTCTTAATCAGTACAATAAATTCGGCATCACAATTGTTACCACAATGGAACCCACGGCCCACTATACCCGAGTTGAGCACCCCTGTCGGGCCTCACGCTCTCTTACTGTTCATTCTTCTTTTTATGCCTCATTATGTTCTCAACCTCACCCTCTTTTTCTCTAGCTCTCTTCTTCCTTCCACGCTGTCTTTCTCTCACGCTCGCGAAAAAATGCTTTGACTTTAATTTCAACTAATCGCTTGGATTTTTCTTTTTCTCCTCTTTAGGTTATACCCTCCTCTCTCTATATATCTCTCGTGCATTCTCCTTTCTGGTGTCCCAACGAAATAATTTACTTCACAAAAAAGAAAGACACGCGGCATATACTCTGATTTCGCGCTTCATATATATTAAATTTGTAATTTTGACTATCGTCTTTCTCAATCACACAATCTTTTTTACTCAACAATCTATGTCAACAGAGAAAGCAGAGGGAACAACACACTGAAAGATATGAACGGAAGACACACATATTAATTTGTACAACAAATCTTCTTTCGAAATAATCACAAAATTGCACGCGATGCGACTGCAAAATTCAAAATAAACATATATAATTTTGCAAGTACAACTTGTGCGACTTATAATTAAACTAGCTCTAGCCAGAAGAAATTAAAACATGGTATCTTATAAATATATACATATCCAATTTCAATTTCATTTTCAAAAATAAAGAAAAATTCTCGCTTTTGTTTTACGAACTTATGATCAAAATACATCGCATATATATTAATATCGTATTTACAATTTTGTAAAATTCAGGGCACAATTTATAATCGCGCGTATTTGCATAAATAAAATTAAAATTTTTAATTACCATGATTGTTTGTACAAATGTCGTATTAAATGTATACGCAATAAATATTTTCCTGTTTGCACTTCAAAATATTTTTTCTTCTTTGCGTTTCCCTCTTCTTCCTCCCGCATGCGCTCGTCCGCATCATCCCCACTCCTGACCCATAGCACACGTACACTGTTTTCCCATGCAGAACTTTCTTTTGCTCGTGTCTCATTCAAGAACTCTCTCGCAGTTCGATCTTTTTTTTTTTTTTTAATTATTTATCTTGATTTTGTCTCATTTTATTTAAAAAAATACTGAATTAACCAAGCTAAAATCACAGACTTGCTGGTGCTTTATTCCAGCGGGTTTGTTTGTACAAATTCTTCCTGAAGGACTCTATGTATACAAGATGTGTGTGTGTATATATATATATATATGTATATATGTATACATATAAGTATGTATATATAATATATCCGTATATATATGTATATATAGTAATTACAATTCACTCGTGAAATAGTATTTTGCACTTCTTTCGCTCTCGATCTCACAATTTGTTTCGCTGAATATCCGCTTGTTTTTTCGCTCATACATTTCATATATACGTCCATTTATTACGTGTGATATACACTTGTATATTCTACATACAACAGTATATATCAAACGAGAGCATCCTATACGATATTGTGAAAATTTCGTTTCCTCATGGCTCCAACCAAAGGGCAAATAAAACGAAAAAGGAATATTTTCTAGCTTTCATCTAAAGCTGTGCTATACGATTCTACAATAAGTACTACATAGTGTGTGAGATTTTCTATGTCGCCGTTTCGTCTAACTACTTTTCAACAAATTTTTTTCAATGGGTCGTTCAGAGAGAAACGGTTTGCATTTCTGATTTTCAGAGCGAATTCAAATCTTTCCTTGTTTGTTATGTTATTTGTTACGCGCTCGGTACAATTTCGCAAACTGAGCATGTTTAGCAATTTTAATGGAATAGCTGCAAATTCGTATCAAATTTATTTGACTGCAAATTATCAAAATAAATGTATATAACATATTGATTAAAAACTGCATAATTCGAGCGATCAAACCTTTTTCAATATAAACTACAATTCGTTTACGTGAATGGGAGAACGAAAGAATCGAATTAACGCGTATAATGTTTCTATAGACACATAATGCACAATCCATAGAGGTTGATCGCTAAAATAAATAATCTAAAAATCCGTTTAAAATTGCCACGCATACTTTCCAATATAAATATATTTATTTATATATATATACTTTTAAATATTGGTATTATACAAGCATGTGCATGCGTGATCTTGTTCAAATACGTATACACACACTTTTAATTAGGTCGTCCGCACACAGAAATTGCTCATATTGTCTCTCTATTTTTAATATAATCACAGACATTGTTTCTATATAATTGCTACATACAGAATCTCCTGATTCGACACCGAACGCGACAAATTCTTCCCGTTTCCTTTTCGCTCTATTCTTCACAAACACACTTTTCTTCTCTTGTTTTTTTTTTTTTTTTACTTTTTATCACACAACACTAGTTCACGACTCCATATTATAATTATCAAACGAACGGCATTCTCTCAAATTCTTGCACATCACGGTCCAATTTTTGCGCGTAATATCACGCGAGTATCCGAACAAGTATTTACGTCACAGAAAAAAAAAGAAAGAAACAACAATACATCATCCGACGATGATTTTAATGGCATTATCAGACAATGCTTGTTTTCATATTCGACTTGGTAGTTTTTTATTGAAATCCGCGTAAGCGAGATACGCCACCGGAGAACCCATGACGAAACGATCGTATATCTATATATACATATACGAACATATGTATAATTCAATAATTTTTATCTTGAAACAGCAGAATTCCTGTCAAGAAAATTTCGATAACTCGAAAATTTCACATGTTTCCATTAAACTTTGTAGATTTGAGCAATGACAGTCTCGGGCTTTTTTCTCGATTTTTCTAGATTTTAAATGAAAACTACTCTTACAAATTGAAATACATATTTTTTATACATTTTGTAAACTATAATAAAAAATTATTAGAACGAAAATTTTCGTGATATGACAAGTCAGCAGAGTGCTAAACGATGATCTTTTATTTATGAAACAAATTTTCAACTTGGATTCGTTATAAGATGTACAGAGAAGTAGGGCTATGCGTATTAGTTCTAATAGAAAAAAAAAATGATCTCCAAAAAAAGCTTCAAAAGTTTAAAAAAAACTGAATTCTCGAGTTAGCAAAATTTTGTTGTAAATAAAATTGAAAAACACGTATGTACGTATACGTATACACACACAAAAGCGCGCGAACATGTATATTTTTTTATTTACGCATCAGATTTCTATTGCATATATTTACTTAATTGCATTCGATTATTACAACGAACGAGTAATACTTTATAAGTATATATGAATAAAATAAAGTTGCACGGCTAAATAAATTTTATAAAATAGAAAACTGAAAATAATAGGAAAGAAAAATTGTTCGGCATGAAAACGGAAGCAAACTGAATAAAGACAATGACAGCCAATTCATTAGCAATGTTGTCAAAATGCAAACTGATTGAACCGACTGAAAGATAACCACGTGATGACGGTCACTTTTTCTCACTTCCCATTCTTACCAACATATATTCTTCGATCACTCTCGTCACGTCCGAAACACCAGAAAAGATTATTTGACATATGCACGAAATACATCCCCTCTTCTTTTGAAGAAAATCACAGTTATTTATTTCATGTTTCCTTATTCTCATTTACTTCATACTTTAATACATGCATGCACATACGCTCTCTCTCTCTCTCTCTCTCTCTCTCTCTCTCTCTCTCTCTCTCTCTCTCTCATGCACTCGCTTTCTTCTTTCTTTCGCACATTCACTCACACATAATATACAACTTGACACAATATGTATATGCGAGCAATGATTTCCGTCCGCTCGCACATATATAATACATGCTTTCACATACATAATACCTATATATATGTACATATAAACTCACGCATTTTGTTAAAGGTTTGTACGTATGAAGTGTAACGTGTGTTCTTGTTGTGTCAACGACGCCAACACATGGGTCGAGTTCAAACTCGCTTGATACAACCGACGATTAATGAAACAATGGCTGATGGACGATTCAGAACGATAACGGATCACCGTAACAATAATGATTCCGACATGCTTGTTAACGCGTCCTGTGAAGAGAAGCTCCGGATCAAAGAGAAATCAAACGTCGACATCGATCGAATCAATTGTTGATGATAACAGATTTCTTCTCCATATGTTCAACGAAGTGGCAACAGAAACATGTATGCCTTTTATTCTAATATGTGTTTGGTGTAGTCTGTGTGTGGCTCAGTGGTAATTTGTATTGGCGGTGCGAGGTTAGGGAGAAAAAAATCCTTGACGAAGCTTAATCAGCGTGATGACCATACGGACAGAAGAGAGAATGCAGTATAAATATTCGTAGATTTTCCATCGAAGGGCGAATTACTACTCCTTTTTTTTTTCATCTTCATCCTGGATGTACATTCTTCATCAGGAGAGGGAGAGAATAGAACATCAGAACACGAGAGGGTTCGGAATAATCGATTACATTGATACGTAAGAGACGATCGTGGAAGAAAAGAGATTTGCGATGATAAAAACACGTTGTTGAATCCTTCCCGAGGAAGGGAGGCTCATTTCGCATTTCCTCTCACGAGAACAGAGAGGGATCAGACTGGTTCGTTGTTCCCCATTCCAGACGTAACTTCTTTTCAGGATAAACAAAGGAAGTACGCGGAGGAGAGCTGAGATCAATTTGTCTGAGAGAGATCCTCGCGGAGCTCGCTCATATTTTTTTCTCACATTTGTAAGCGCGATCTCGTCAGCAATCAGTATTTCCAACGGAAAGAACTAGAAAGACTGGATCTTTTCGCGAGACACGCCAGGACGCAAGAGAACCGCTGGTCTGGGTACACACGTTACGCGAACGCGCAGTATTCTCCTCGAACATTCGAATGATAATCGTTACCACTTTCCTTTCCATGAGTATCCTCTTTCTCTTCTTTTTTATAGTTTGACATATCTTTAGCGTAATGACTCGCGTATATATGCTGGACTAGAGTCAATCGTAAAAACGATTATTGCGAGTCACTCGGAACCCGTTGGACGATACGTATTGGACGAATTTCTTCGATAAATCGGATTTAGCCAAAAAAAAAGAAAAAATTGGTTATACACTTTTTTTTAATACATTTGCTGTCCATTGTTGATAAAACGGTGCGCACAAGAAGGAGCCTCTGTTGCACTTGATTTTCTTCGGAACTCGACTCAGAGTAGAATTAGCGCGTTCGTGTGCACGAGTGAATTATTCACCCGACCGGAAAAACGCGATCACATATCATGAAACGCATATGCTTTGATCAGTCCGAGAGCGTGATGCACATCCTATGAAAATGAAGCAAGACGCTAATATCTTCGCATCGATGAATTTGTGTGAAAAAACGCTTCAACTGGAAACGAATGCAGCGATCTGCTCGCTAAATTGCGAGTGCTCCAACAATAACGAATCCTTGCAACTCTCAAATTGTTGCTGTTGCTGCTGCTGTTGCTGCTGCTGCTGGTGATGATGATGCTGATGTTGGTGCTGATGTTGATGCTGATGTTGATGTTGAGACTCCTCAGGTTCAGGTTCTGTACGTTCGTATAGAACACAAATGGACCCATTTTCACCGATTCTATATGATACTTCCGATGGATCAATCCACATGGTAAGCTCGCTTGGGAACAAGCTGTGCAATACCGTTGGCAGTAAACCAACATTGGCGCCTGCCTGTGCAATTACTGGATCCATTTTACCGTTGATGCGTATGCAACGGTAACCGGAACCGCGATTTGGTCGATCTGGAAACCAGTGATCCCTATAACGATGACGCAGAACCTCCGTTAGAGAGGACTTGAACATCTCCAGCTGGCGTTCAGACAATTGGCCTGCCTGAAGACGTAGTAAATGCACCAAAAAATCCGCTGCTGACACAATTTCCAGTCTCATGGTTGCTATGCGATCTATGATAAAATTTTGTTAATGTTACAACGCCACTCTTCCTCTTCTGCCACTTCTTCCGTTGTTTTTTTCTCCCGAGGAAATCACGAAAGAAAATACTATATTCCTTTCGTGATTTGAGAGGTCACGGCTCGAGGGAGGCCGTTGTTGCTCACGGAATGCACACAGGAGTCTTCACAAAATGGCGTCGTCGCCACGTCGCACGATCACGTTTAGTATTTATTCGTCGACGCTCCAGCGCGAAGAGAAATATCAAGTGTTTCTCAATAGTTCTTTCGCGGCTATCGATGATTATTTTTAACATAAACAATTCGAATGTACGGAGTTCCAGCGATCGTTGCTTCTGTTTTGTTTTCAAATTTTCAAATTTGTTAGGATGGTTACTCCAAAATAACGAAATGAAGCTCTGAGAAGTCAGAGATGTTGCGATTGCGATTTTTCCAATCGTAAACGGCGGTCAAAATCGTTTTCTTCAGTCCTTCAAGTACCAGGAGAATCGACAAAGGAAACGAAACGTAAAATTCCAACGACACAGCAGCGATAACCTTCTTTTCTCCCACGCTGGTTCACTTTTCGCACTTTACGACCACGGAAAACTTTCTCGTGAAATTTAACCGACACACTTTTCTCCGACAACCGCACCCAACAATTGCCAACGACTTTCTAGTGGCAGAGACCGTCGACGCAAACGATGTAGCTTTGTCTCTTTGTTCACGCAACCTACGGTGGGGATACTATTCGCATTCTAATTGGATCATTCTGATTCCCACCATAACCATCGGTCACGTGACCATAATCTGCGCTGTTTTGGTTGCGCAAACGTTTGCAGCTGCGTCCCGAATACGGATCGTCTGCACGATTAAAGGTTCTCAAATAGTTTATACTCACATCATCCCAGGATTTGATAATTTTCTGCCCTCACAAAATTTCTCCGAAACTTGAGTTGCAGAAATTAGATGTATTGAAATATTAATGTACAATTTAAAAATTACAGAAATACCGATACTTTTCAATGTAAATAAAAATTTGTTGTAAATTTCATTTCTTGTAAATTTTGCTTCCTTTTTAAAATATACATATATAGTTGTATAAATCAAATTTAAACACGATTATATGATTCAATGCATGTATATTCAATTTAATTGTATTATTGAAAATTAAGAAATGTAAGAAATCGTTGAAAAGTTATATTGGGTGATATTCGTAATTTTCCATAATGTTAACGTTGGATATTTAATAAGTGTAATTTACCAAATATAAATTATATAGTATTGCAAAATATTTCAAATAAATATTATCAATTTTAAATGATATAGAGGTAATTTAAAATTTAGAATATAATTCAGAAAAATTTTTTAAATAAAAGAAAACATTATACCGTTTACTAAAATTATGAAGATAATATTTATTTTCGTTCAAATTAAAATTAGATAGAAATGTGTAATGAATTTCAAATAATATTATCAAAAAATAGAGTTTATATAAATTATATACATTTTTTAGAAATTATGGGTAAAGTATCCTTAGTTTTAATTATAGGTAAAGTATCCTTATATTGAAATATATTTAAAAAATCATATAAAATTACCTGAAATTGTTTGAAATAAAATTGCTTTTGCAATATTCTAAATGTAATTAAATGCTGTTAAATTTTTTCATTGTTGCAAAATTGTATGTATGTATGAATGTATTATATTTGCGCTGATAATTCTACTTTTTAAAAAGCACGAATATGCACCAAATATACATATACTGTGTACATTCATAATATAACAAATTGGAAGATATATCACGTTCCACGTGATTATTGATAACAAACTCTTTTATAATTAAACAAAAATCATGCATTTAAATTGTTAAATTTGTTTGATATCTTATTTCTACTGTTTAAAAGAAAGACAAAAATCGATTGTTTTTTAGTATTTAACGTTTACATTTAACGTTTTAAAAATTATTTTATAGTAATTAATTTTTACAAACGCATCGCTGAGACAAACTTTTGTCAAAAAAAAGAGAATATTTATTGTTCTTATTTTTCTTTTTATATTTATTGACAGATTTTTACTATATTACATGTTACATTTCATTTTTTTCTTATTTCCTAATCTTATTTTAATTATTACATTATTAATTATGTTTTCTTTCTTCGTTTATTAACGTCAACATTACATTATTAATTATGTTTTCTTTCTTCGTTTATTAACGTCAATGTAAAGTTAACAAAAAAAACGGTAAATATTGTTCATTTTACGTAATGGTTTTTTGTTTTTTATTTGTTTATTTTAAAAACTAAAAATTGTAGTAATAAATATGGCATTAATTTTTTTGTTCTAAATATTCATGCTAAACATATATGTGCTACATATGTGTGCATGCATTTTGTAATACAAATCATTTATGATATCAGTCAAATTAAATATTTGAAGTATTATCTATATATTCGAAAACAATTTTAACTTTTCAAAAAATTGCGAAATAGCTGCAATATTAATTTTATATTTATATGTGTAATTCATACATTTCTAATTTAAAACATTTCGGGATAATATTTATCGAGATTACTAGTAGATCGATTTTTATAACTTCCAGAATTTATAAATTTTTAAATTTGAAAGAGAGGATAATAAAGTGAAAAGTCAACGTTGGATAAGAATGAGAAATAAGTATAAAATTAAATGGAGCGCAAAAGAAATACAAAGGCAAGATAAAATTATAAAAGGCATATATTATAAAATTATATATGCATATATATAAATTAGATGCTGCGTTAGATTTTTTCTTTCCTTTTTGAAATTCAAAAAATTTATGTACAGTATTTCATTAAATCGGAAACGCAGTTTCACGTATCGATTTTCTCACAATTTCCTCCGTTCATATTATTCTACCGCTGCTGGGTTATTCCCCTTCCTGGACTAGCTTAATAAAAGGATACGTAGAGAATGTATATATGTACCTGATAGGGTGATCCATAATCTCCCAATGAGCATTACCGACCCCTAGAATTTAGCTATCTAAACCAAGCGAATTGACTGGATATAAAACTATCATCAACCTAGAAATGCATGCCTTATAAAATGTACCCGTGTGACGAACTATTCGCTTTTTGTAATATTAGCGACTACAAGATTGATTTCAACAGTTATACGCAACCCTTTTATTAAAAAAAACCTTACCTACCAATTGTCCAAGCCTTTTTCAAGTCTCCACATTTTCCATAGTTCCTATTGGTGATTTGAATCAGTAACTCTCAAAGTCTTTCATGTTTACATTATATAAAATCAATGAAATTTTTACTTATAAATTTAGAATCGCATAATATTTATATTATTGTAGTAGCTGAAAAATAATAAAGTATATTGAAATAAAATTTAGAAATTATAAAATATTAATTCAAACTCTTTAGTCTTAATAAAATCTATATAAATTCCCAACAACTGATTGAGAACTACTGACGGAGGGGATCGTTCAGGAAGCGAAAACCAAGTCGTGCGGCTTTAGACGCAATGGACGACGCTGTTTTACTGTACACGTTATTCCTCATTCGAATGAACTCTTGAATGTCTTCGATTAAAAATATGTAGAATGATTAGAATTGTATCTATGTTATAAAATTATACAAAGCATTTGAATGGAAATGCGTAATATAAATTAATTTCATAATTTTAATTAAAAACGAGAAATGTAACTGATGAATATAATAAATGATTTCAAAATCAAACTGGTTTAAGTAAAATTTTTAAAGAACTTGTTAAAAAATAATTTTTATAATCCTAAAATAATAACGTGTACTAATTAACAAACGTATAACGTATAGTTGTATTCATGAATTAGTATATGGATTAATTATGCCATTGCATATGATGAATTGTCATACTTCCATCACAATTATAATTTAAACGACCTCGAAATATTGTTTATTTGCATGGGATTGTAGAAACTTCGCATAAACGTAACAGTTGCACGTAAAAACAGCCACATTGTGCAACGCATGGTATAATCATGTCCAAGCTCAAGTTGGGACTGTGTGATACGAGGTATCGCAAATTTTCGCCCTGCTGTATCGTATTGTCTTGAGTATAACTAACGCTAAGATGATTCAATCGATGATTACAAATAAATACAAACCAATCAATTTGACTGTAGCTTTTATACGATATGTAAAAACGTGTTTGGGCCACTAGTATGACACATGTATACACATTATTATCGAGAGTAAAAGATATAAATATCCAGTATTTTTTACGCATTGTTACCTCAAACATGAGTAAAAATAAATATATAATATAGAAGCAACAATAAAAATGTTACGCTCAAATAAAAAATTCGCAATAGAAAATATTAACAATATAAATTCGATTTCAATCGATGTGTGATGAAAGACATACATAACCGTATATTTACGATATTTATATTATTATTTTTTAACATTTTCTTTGTGTAATAATTATATCGTGAATGTTGATAATTTCAATTTGTTTTATGTTATATTAAAATGAACAACATAATACATTCAATATATTACATATATTATATAATACATTAGAGATTACATATATAAATTAAAGATATATATTCAAAATATAAAAATGAACAATTTTTCTGATATTTTAATGGATTTAATATTCAAAATATAATCTTTTGTAATCATATTTAATAAATATGTGTACTGTAATAATATAATTAATATATTATATTAATATTACATAATTGTTGTATTTCAATGTATATAAAACACGCGCGCGCGCGCGCGTACTATACATATATATATATATTTTTACACTCAAAATGTCGTTCTTTTCTATTCATATTTAATTTTATTTTATTTAACCTAGTTAACCTAAACTAAAATTGATAGCAATGTTAATCGGAGCTCTTATCAATTATTTATCTATACTTTTCTTTTGATATATGTATCTATATATTATATTAATTATTATCTGCACAATATAAACTATATTTATTATAAAAGTGGGATTGTTATAAAATAAATGTGATATACGAGGAACTTTCTAATACGAAATTCAAATCTTACATAACATTTCCATATAGGTCTACAAGATATTTTATTACTTTCAGCCATATATAAGAGTATAACATTCTATATAAGTCTAATATCATTATATATTTACTATTATGCATATACTGTGTATCCAGTTAAAATAAGAAGAATGTAAAGTAATAGCAGTTTCTTAAACTATACAAAATGAATAATGCAAATAATGATATTTTAGTCAATAATTTGAAATTATAACGATGATATTTACAATTATTCGGTTAGTAACAAAATATATACATAAATAGAGATACTTTAAAAATTGTACACAATACAATATATAATTCGTTTCTCCCACCATTATTTATCGGTTATTAATATTTGTCAAAGTTATCAAATATTCATAAATGAATATAAATTGAAAATTAATGTGTTAAATGGTAAAGAACTATTAAGTCTTTATTAACTTCTTTAATCTCTATTTTTTCGCAATGTATTTGTATCTTTTCCTGACTTAATTGATTGGTTTCAACTCATGAAAATTTGTTAATTCATATTTTACATAATCATTTACTTATCCATATGTTTTTTTTTTTTCTGTAGCAATAGAAATACAATAAGTATGAAATTGAAACTTTGAATCCTCCATTTAAGTGAATATATTCTAGATTATATTGTTTGTCAATAGTGTTTACTAACGGCA